TTGCCATCCATGAATGTTTTATTTTGTTCTTTGAGACTAGAAATAATTAACAGAAAAGGATTTTATCGATGGTATTTAAACTGTGCCATTTCTAAGCCCTGTAAAATGTTTTCTTTTAAGGAAGAGAGTGTTTTTTAATATCTTATTTGACATTGATTGTATAGTGCTATTCTGTGGTAAAATGACTACAAATCTTTTCTGGATTAGGTGACCTCATTACATCTTTCTGGTTAGTGCCATAATAAAGTGTTTTTTTCATCGAAGAATTTATTTTAAGTGAAACACATCACCATGTCGCTTTTTTTCTTAAAGACGTAAACACGATATGTGTGTTCTAGCAAACAAACTTGGTGTAAATGTTACGGAACTAATGGCAATAGTCGATATTAAGGACGCCATTTTAATGAGTAAGGGATATAATTAAGAGTTCATTAAAGATCTATTTTATAGCATTATTGCGGACCGAAAAGAAATAGAAGAACGTGAATTTAATGAAAGAAAACAGCGTGAGGAATGCGAATATAATGAAAGGAAAGAGATAGAAGAACGCAAGCACGAGCTTGAGAAATTGAAAACACAAGTAGCTAGTTCAGGTGCTATTCATGATTTCGTACCTGCTTTGAAACCCACTGACATAGATATCCCTAAGTTACAATTACAAACTTTAATTCCTCACTTTAATCCAAAAAGTGATGGCATGGAGCCTTTTTCTCACTTTATTTGAAAGACAACTAACAATTTTCAACATACTTCAAGGGAAATGGGTAGTGTATCTCTTAGGTTTGTTACCTAATGACGTTGCAAAACTGATTGCAAAGGAATCTGCTAGTGATGCACAAGATTATGACAACATCAAACAAATTCTCTTAAAGAGTTTCAAATTAAACACTGAAAAGTTTCGACAGTTCTTTTCACAACATTGCAAAAGTCCTGATAGTACATGGCGAGATTTTTACTTTGATTAGAGAAATTTCTTTGATGGCTGGATTGGCGAATTAAAAGCCAATACTTTTGAGAAATTAAAGGATTTGATAATATCAGACCAAATTAAAAGACAGTCCCCTTCTGAGTATACAGAACATTTTGTGGATCATTGGTCCGAGTGGACTGATCCGCTTCAACTGGCTGATAAATTAGATTTATATGAAGAAGATAAAAACATCAGGAGTAGAAACCTCAGTAGTAACACTCCAAAGCCGTCTCAACGTAGTGGTCCTAAAAATTATAAAAATCTTAACTTGTTAAAAACTCAGCGACAAGGAATTCTGGCATGAGAGAAAATCAACCAACTGATCAGCTGACTTCAAAGCAATCAAGAATCAGCCAACTTCTAAGCAATAAACTTACATACTGTGTTTGGAGAGACACCTCACACGACTCTTTTAAGAGTAAAAAATCAACGCATTTACGGGAATTGACTGTGCTGACACTGGCACTACTCGCACTATAGTGGGAGAAACATATAATCTCTTGAAAGAACAGGGATCAGAATTTAAGAAAACTACTATGGAGGTCACTCTTCCCGATGGTATTCAAAGGGACGAAGAAGTCCACATGACCCAGGTAGACATTCACATTGAAGGAAGATCATTCCGCATAACTTTATTTGCACTTCCCTCAGCAAAGGGTAACAGGGCACTTTTAGGATCGGAGTTTCTTAGAAGCACTGGAATTGTTTTAGATCTACAAAATCATTGGAAGTTTTACCACGATAATCCGCAATAAAAGTTTAAGTTTATTGATGATGATTCTAAATCCGAAATCAAATGTACATAATCGAATCAAATGTACATCGGAAGTTGACACTGTACTGTTAACAGAATGTGAAGGACAACATCTATTGGCTCATCAAAGATCACAATTAAATGAATTATTGAGTCAATATTCAACTATCTTCCAACCAAGGGGAGAAGCAACACCTTTCATAGAACAATGAATTAAAACTGGAAACCATCCCCCAGTAGCTGTACCACGATACAGAATGAACCCTGCCAAGAAAGAAATCTTGAAGCAAGAAATTGACAAGCTCTTATTGAAGAATGTGAATCCCCGTATGCATCTTCAGTTCTTTTAATACCGAAACCTAATGGAACAGTATGCCTCTGCATAGATTAGCGGAAATTGAATGTGATTACGGTTCCGTATTCCTACCCATTTCCAAGGATGGATGACCAGTTACATGAGACAAAACCTACTCCTTTTATGTCCACCCTTGATCTTCGTGCAGGTTATCACCAAGTGAAGGTTCATACTGATGATCAAGACAAGACAGCATTTGTGTGTCTCTTCGGAACATATCGTTTCTTACGAATTTGGTCCTTCAGAATGACCCAGCAACATTCCAGAGATTGATAGGCCGTTTTTGCAATGGACTTGAGGACACCCTAACCCTCACCTATCTGGATGACATAATCATGTTGTCAGAATCATTCGGGAAACACCTTTCCGATCTCAAAGCTGTTTTCGAAAGGCTTTTGCTCTTCAAACTGTATGCAAACAGAGAGAAGTGCCACTTCGCTTAGATGATATATACAAAACTTTGTGGAAATATCACAACCTCTTAGTGATTTGACGAAGAAGAAAGTCCAATAGGAATGGAGTTTCAACCAGCAAAAAGCATTTGAAACTCTAAAAAACTGGATCATAACACCTCCTGTGTTGAAGCAAGCAAATAGAACTCAATCGTATATTCTTGAAACAGATGCAAGCAATTATGCTCTTGGAATCGTTTTACTTCAAGGGGAAGGTTTGACGTCAGTAACTATAGCATCTGATGATCAACCTTTAAAATGCCTTTTGGACTTTTCTTTCAACCTGAAAGTACAATACATTCCTGGAAAGGCAAACGTCATCGCTGACATGCTGTCCCGTCCAAGCTCGGAACATGACGTTTCACCTTACAAGATTTCAAACATATCTGTAGTGGACATGCCCACAAGAAGTCCAAAAGACATGCATGAATCTCAACTTAAAGATGAAAACTTTAAAAAGATTATAGAAAGTTTCAAATCCACTCAGAAAACTGAAGAATGTGCCAATTGGACTGAACGGGGATTCTTAATGAATCAAGGTGTTCTTTACCGATATGTCTCTGACTCTGATTCAGAAGAGGACCCAGTTAGTAATTCCAACTGCCGAGCGTGAATCCATCATGCGAAAGCACCATGATGACCCAATGGCTGGACATTATGAAGAGGAAGGAACATTCCAACAAATTGCCAGACGCTATTATTGGACTGGTATGAAAAAGTACATATCTGACTATGTGAAAAGCTGTCCTGAATGCAACTGCTACAAGGCTACCAATCAAAATCCAGCTGAACTGCTTAAGAACCCCTGTCTATTCTCAACATTTTGAGATCATATCTATTGATTTGTTTGGACCACTGCCAAAAATTGACACTGAAAAACAATGGATCTTCATTGTCAAAGACTGTTCTATGCAATGTGTTGAATTATTTCCTCTTGCTCAAACTACAGCATGCAACTGTGCTATAACCTTCATCGAAGAAGTATTCATGCTGTATGGTATACCAAGAAGAATCATCAGCGATAACGGAACCCAGTTTATCAGTGCAGTCATGCAACAAGTTTGCTGCACATTAAATATTAATCAAAACTTGATACCAGTTTACTTTCCTCAATCAAATCCTGTGGAACGGAATAATAGAAACTTAAAAACCTCGTCTGGCAATCCTTGTAGATGCACATGACAACTGGCATTCAAAACTCCCAGTTATTCGCTTCGCTATGAGTACGGCCGTCTGCAACATAACAGGCCATATACCAGTGTTGCGGACACTGGAAAGAGTTGAGGACAGTCGACAATGTTGTTCATGATTTCAAAGCTGTGGTTGAAAATGATAACTTTGTTCCTGAAATCCCACTTTATCTTAAACGATTCGTAACTATTACAAAGGACATACGAGAGCATATCGAAATAAAGCTAGATCAACATAAAAAGCAATATGATAAAGGAAGGCGACAAGTGTTTTAATCACCAGGTGATAAAGTATGGTTCAATTTACATCCCAATAGCAATGCAAAAAACAAAAAGACTTCAAACTTCATACCAAAGCGTGACGGTCCATACTTGGTAATGACACAGAAATCACCTACTTCCTATGTCATTTCAAGCCTTCATAAATCATCAGAACTGTTAGGAACATACCATACGTCTGCACTAACACCTTTCAAAAACTTGTCCATTTCTTCCATTCTTCCTCTCAGGAAGAGAGGTAGACCACCAAAAGTTACTTTGCATTCCCAAAATAATCAAGAATTTGTAGTTCCGGACAGTGCTTTAAAGAGAGGTCCCTTTGCCCAGGAAACCAAAATAACTTAGACTAGACACGTTACAAAAGCTCCCAAATCCTCCAGTTCTGTCTCCTTGCCAGAGCATCGGCGGAGCCAGAGGAGGAGTTTGTAACCAATCCTTTAACATATACTGTTGGACTAACTGTGGCAACAAGCTGCCCTCTGGTGAGTAGCCAGAGAAGGACTCAGTAAAAGCCAAGTGTCCCACTTGATAGGTTATATCACTCTTGCTCTGTAATTTTCTTAAAGTTAAATGTAATGTCCATGTGTAACTTAAACCTGTTAATAAATACTTGTTACACTATACATATATATATATACTATGACCCTATCTAAAATGACCCCCTCACAGTGTTAACATACACCTATATATATTTATTTACATAATTAATCCAGTATTTTACAAGAATCAACAGACATATGTCTTTGAATTATTAGGCCTAAACCTTCATTACCACACTTCTTGCTTATGCAGAAATCTGAAAAGACAGAATGTCTGAAGTATCCCTAAAGGCTAGTGCATTCAATTCATATCATCATACCACAAGGATATAATCACCATAGTTAAAAATCAAAGAATAAAGAGAGAATGCATCACAGCATATTTAAAAACATGGAAATCTTTTTCTAGTATTTTAAAATTAAAGTACACTGAAAAGACAGGAAGTTATAACTATACTTACGTATAACTCCAGATGCATTTCTTCCCAGCCATGATAAGCATTTTATTCTAATATCTTGAATTTGGTATCGAGCACCTGAAACTGAACAAAATACATGAAAAATAACTTCAATGAAAATTTCATAAAAATAAACTACATGTATAATTATCAAACACATTTGCGAGCCTTTTCAAAAGCTTTTGGAATCACTGTACTGATTAGATGAAGGTCATTCTTTCATTACTGCCCATTAAGATAAAGATAAACTGTGACATGCTTACTTAATGCAAAGAAAGCCATCATTCAGTTATCGTTTGTTCAATTAATATCAAACCAAAAAATGCACTTCCATGGCAAATGAGAAGTATGCACTGCTCATTACCTGACAAAGAATAACAAATTATGTATTAAATTACATAAAAGCAGCTAGGAAACATTTCCGATTATGAAATTAATGTATAATAGAATAGGGAGTTTGGTTATATTCAAGGAATATAAGCATTCAAAAAAGGTAAATGTGGTGTGCAGGATAAGCCAAAAACTCATATATAGTAGAAGGAATAAACGGTTTGGTCATATTCAAGCAGTGGGACCGTTTAAAGGAAGGCACATATAGTGTGCAGGATGAGCCAAGTGGTGAGTGCCTATCCCCATCTGTGAACAATGGGAACATTGGGAAAGCACACACAATGTTGAAAGAGAATATTTATATACAGTCAAAAGTCGTTAATCCGGACTCGTCGGGACTTCGGCGATTCCGGATTCTCGATTTTTCAGGATTATAGATCATCAGTTTAAATCTCGTAAGATGGCATGCAGAAATTCTAAAATTAAAAATATGAAACCGTAATTTATGAAATAAAGAACAATTATGATCTAAAGGGTATCAAAATTTACAAAAAAAAAAAGCTTAATATTTATTTGTTTACTTTATTAAACATTTATTTCAATGTAAGTTGTTTAAGTTGCTTCCTTTTATGTGATAATACTTTCTTTTTAATTCTATAAACAGACATAATTTTTTGTTCAGTTACAAAGTTCCGCTGTTCAAGTCCCGTTAATTGCTGTGCCGAGAATACCGGCTAACTTGTCAATCGAAATTTTTTCATTTTCACTAACCTCTCTGTCACATTCTTTATGTCTTTATCCATTTTTTGCAGCAATTCTACTTTTTGTTTGATGGACAACGAAACATACTTTCGTTTTGTAGGATCCTTTGGGAGCTCCAGAATCGGAAATTCTATTTGACATAATTGAAAGTTCAAGTTTATTTTTATAGTAGTGCTCTTACAGTCTGCAAAAAAATAATAAGCCGGATTCAATTCAAAGATTAAGGAACAACACAATGATCAACATTAACTGAAATAGATAATTAGATAATTTTAGCTTTATACTGTCCGTTATACATGCGACATGCGACGGGGGACGTGGGCACCACCCCTTTACCGTCGGTTAATTGGTGTAGCGCCACATCCACCAATATCTAGAGTTGAACCTTGAGTCTTTCAAAATTGCAATTACATGGCCATACAAGGGCTGTTAATATTTAGTATTACATTCTTGTTTGCTGGTTAACATATTCTATGGATAACGTGATTTACAGAGTTACATACTGACTTTGTCTCTCATTTCCGGCATACAATGCATATGCATTACCTGAATTACATTAATCTTACATTGCGTTGGATTACTTTTGTGTACAGTTACAGTTTTTAGCTGTACATTTCAATAAATATACCTACATTACTTGTAGATTGCATATAAATACAGTTTGCATGTACAGTTACATATGCCAATATTACATGTGCCTTGCGTTACATTATTTTTATATACATACATAGTCAGGCACGCCTGCTTCACATATTACTTAATTTTACCTACACTGCTTAACCTTAGGTTACATATACTTGCAGTTGCATATAGATACATGCAGATACATTCTGATTAATTTTTTAGATACAAATATTTACAAACATAATAGTCTTACAGGTTACTTACATTACATGTTATTTGGGTACTTATTGCATAATTTTCCAGTACATGAAATAGACATTCCAATACATACATTGCTTTGCGTTAGACATCCTATATCCCTTATTCATAATACAAAACATATATGTTACCCATGCATTTTTATTAGACATTTCTGCATTTATATTGCATTACTTTAAATTGCATAACTTACTTATACATAGCTTACTGATACACAAAAATATTTACATATATTACACTCCCTTACATTACTTTGCTTACAGATATATGCACTTTCATACATTCGTTATGCCTACATTATATATCGGTTCATTATATATGGTCTTACGGTATAATTTGCCGAAATTTATTTACACAGTACATGCACATTGTTAAATGCAACTGACTTTCCAGGTATGAATACAGGCAGTCTTTATACTGTGAGTTTCTAGTCTACATTATAGTTTCTTACAATTCACTTGAATGACAGTTTTCCTACATTGCAATACATGTCCTTTTTAAAATGCTTAAGTTGTTTTTACATGCTGGGTTTGTTCTATGGCTGACACAAGTCTGTATCTAAGTCGGACAGTCTGTCCATCAACTGTACCAGCTTTTTAATAAAGTGCCGCTGTTTTATCATATATTTACAGAACGGCTGGCGATTTGTTTCAGGGAGATTGATATGCAGTCCTTCTGTTAATGGGCATGACGTTAGATAGTGCTCTGGTGAGCCTGAGTCGCCGCATGCACATTGACTTGTGTGACTTATGCCACGCTTGAAGAAATATTCCGGGTAGGGCCCATGCCCGGAAATGAACCTTACCAACTGTGCGTTCGCGCTACATTTCGGCTAGTGTCCACATAGCCGATGAAGTAGTGGGTCCTTCTCCCTGTGGTGCTTTGGTCCCATTCGTTCTGCCACATGCCAGTAGCCCTTAGGCGTAGTGTCTTCTTTAAATACGAATGCGGCCATGGGATGATAATTGGTGCATCAGGCGGGTCAGTTGTTGCCTCTTTGGCGAGTTGGTCGGCAAGTTCATTGCCATAGTGGCCAACATGAGCCTTTATCCACTCTAATTTTGTGCGGTACTGGGGGTTACTTCTAAGATCTCTCTGGATTCCCTGTATAATCTCCGAGGGATGATCTGCATTCCAAATGGCATATAACGATGATAAGCTGTCCGTTTTAATGGTGACATGGCTATGCTGGTGCGAGTGCAGGTAGCGAATCGCTTGTGCAATTGCCACTGCTTCGCTTTGAAAGACACTGTTATGTTGTCTTAACTGTCCCTTCCATTTCTCGATTGCGTTGTCTTGTTTCGTGGCGACATAGGCGCATCCCACTCTTTCGTCCAATCTAGACCCGTCTGTATAGATGGTCATTTCCCTTGAGTGATGAGTTGCAGTGGGATTAATTGAGATAAGTATCCCTTTGCCTTTCTCTGCCGGGTGGACGTCAAGAGGGCAGAAGTTTGTTTCGTACTCATCCGGGTAGTATGTTTCATCATCAAAAGTAACTGCCTTCTTAAGTTGCAAAATGTGTTGGCGTGCTGCCTCCTCCTCAACCCGGATGTGCAGGGGAAGGAGACCAGCAAGTACGTTAATGGCATCGGTGGAGGTGGTGCGGTAGGCCCGTGTGATTCCCAATGCGAATGGTCGTTGTATGCTGTTAAGATGTCTGACCTTCCTTCCTTGCATTGGGTAGGCCCATACTGCGGCAGCATACGTCACTATCTTCTCGATGACTGTCGTGTACAATACCTTTTGAATATGGGGGTTAAGCCCCCATTTGTGACCATAAAAGAGTTTCATTTGTTTGGCTATGGCTGCCGTCCGGAGTTTGAGATCCTGCACGTGAGGGATCCAGGTCATCTTATGATCAAAAGTGACCCCTAAATATCTTAGCTGGTCCACTATCTGCAGGCGTTGGTTGTTAATCTTTATGGTGGGTCGTCTTACTAAGGATCCTCCTTTTTTCGGAATTAAAAGGACTTCTGACTTATGTTCTGCAATTGTGAGCTTGAGTTTGGTACACTGGTCATGAAAGATCGCGCAAACTTCATTGCAATTTTTCTGTAATTTTTCTCGCGTGGTACCCTTTACGATAAGCGCCGCGTCATCCGCGTATGCAATGATTTTACTGTGCGCCGGCCACGTCGCTGTCAGTACTTCATTGAACGTTAAGTTCCATAAATGCGGCCTGGCGCACGATCCTTGCGGACATCCTCTAGTTTGCACCTTTTCGATAATGCCTGCATTATGCACCGCTAATAGCTTCCGATCCTGCAGGTAGTTGCTTATTATACTATATATGTTACTTGGGCAATTGGCCCTTCGTAATGCCTGCTTGATAGCCGGCCACCACAGCGTATCGAAAGCATTCTTTAGGTCTATGCTGACCATAGCCGTGTGGTGGCCGCTGTGTCTATTTTCCAGAATTGCCTCCTTTATATTATGGAGGGCATGCACCGTCGATGAACCAGTCCTGAAGCCATATTGGCTGCTGCTGAGATAACCGTTGAGATGCAAGTGGTGGCGCAGTCTGTTGATGATTAGCTTCTCCAACACCTTCCCCATCGCCGACAAAAGGCAGATGGGTCTGAATGATGAGGCTTCTGAAGGATCTCTGTTTTTCTTGAGGAATACCACTTGCCCTATTTTATATGGTGTTGGAAAAAGTCCTACTGACAGAAGCTTATTGAAATAGCTTACGAAGAATGTAGGGTATGCCTTTATGGTAGCTTTTACGATTGTGTAGTCCATGCCGTCAGAACGCGCAGGCGAAAACGTATTCTGTGCTTGCGCACACACATATGCGCAGTCGTAAAAGGTCTTACGCGCACGCGTCAACGCGGCGCATGCGCAGAAAGTTTTTAGCTTTGAGGTCCGGATTATAGATCATTCCGGATTATGGGTGTCCGAATTAACGACTTTTGACTGTACACATAGAATAGTAAGCTAAATACTGGTATAGCAAAATGTCATATTATTAAACAAAACCAGAAAATGTCTTGAGTTATGCAAAATGGAACATGTTTACTGAATGAAAAACATAAGCTTCATCATTATCACTACTATTGGGCATTTCTTCAATAAATAAAAAAAAGGTCCTGAAAGAATACTCATCC